GAGGAACCCTCATGCACTCTAGCAGTTGATCCCTGGCCCACTCCTTCAGAATCTGATAGCAGTATTCTCTGTTCTCTATTACTAGCCGAGACAAGTACACAACCTCCTCAGGATGTATCCTTTACAAACAGCAAGCCAAGATGGCTTCCCTGTGCAGCCATTTCTGGTCAGGACTGGCCTTGGTGTTATGTCAGAAATCCGGATATGACCAGAGATGTGTGGACTGACACAGGGAATAGCAGGCTTCAGGAGTGATGTAATAATATAATTTATTTGTGAGACATACCAATAAACAAACGCACTGTGCAAGTAAAAACCAAATAATCAAACCTTCACCCAATATATATATGTACAGAAATACAAGCGTAGTCAGGGCTAGCCAGGGTCATACACAGGAGAGGTAGAATAGTCAGGCAAGCCAGGTCCATATCAATGGGGCGGAACAGGTACAGAGGAGTAGGCAAGCGGATAGTCAAAGTGAGAGCCGGGTCGGTGCAGGCGGAGTTCAATCGTAGTCAGAGTCACCAAGGCACTGGTTGCAGGCATGATTGCTGCTTAAATACACCTCCTGCAATCATCCTCAGGTGATGGCTTGATTGCAGGAGGTGAGATTGCTGAAAGGCACCTGCTGGTAAGTCCCGGTACTGCAGCCCATAAAGCCGGTGAGCCACAGCAACACCAGCAGTGAGCCCTTTCCTGACAGGTACTGATATCGGATGAGAAAGCCTGGCTTGTAGTCTGTGGTGTAATTCATCCCAAAGGTGTTCTATTGAGTTGAGGTCAGGCCAGTGAAATTCCTCCACCCCAAACTTACTCATCCATGTCTTTATGGACCTTGCTTTGTGCACTGGCACACAGTCATGTTGGAACAGGAAGGGGCCATCCCCAAACGGTTACCACAAAGTTGGGAGCATGAAATTGTCCAAAAAGTCTTTGGTATGCTAGCGCCTTAAGAGTTCCTTAGTGTGACTCATGGGAAAAAGAGCACCTGACTGTCAGGAATTACTTGAACCGCTACAAAAAAAAATACACCTGCTAGTGCTATGCTACCAGAGATCAGGCCAGATCTTCCTACCGAGCAGTTTTGTGTGCAGTGCATCAAGTGACAGTGATCTACTGACACTGCACTTGCTGGGGGGGAAGGGGGGGTTAAGCATAGGGGCTAAATGCAGGTGCTGGCAGACGTTGGGGCTGATCTTGCTAACACTGTGTTTCTGGAGACACTATACTATAATGAATGCTGGTAAAGTTCTGATCTGATCAAAGATATTGATCTGTTCAGACATTATACTAGCAATGGAGGTTTATTGTGTATGTGAGCATGTTCCTGGTAATCAAAGGGTTAAATGTGATGAATGATGTAGTGGTGGGCAATTTGACACTATCTGGGAGGGACGTTAACTGACGCTAATGCTATCTGTAGTCACGAGTGACACTAATACGGTGATTAGTAAAAAAATCTGTACACTGTAATAGTGACAGTACTAGTGAAAAGGTTAACTGGGGGGGTGATCAGGGGGTTAAATGTGACCTAGCACTGCTTTTACTGTATATATGTAGGGCTTTGACTCAGATCTGGATCTGATTTCTTCTCTCTCTCTCTCTCGAATGGAATGTGCTCCAGGGAGAGAAAATTGCATAATTTCCTGTGCCTGTGTAATGTAAACACAGGCACAGGCTGAGCTATGATTGGGTACAACCGATCAGCAGGTCCATGCCAAACATCATTGGCCTGAATCTGGTGAGTGATCGGTACTGTACAGAATCACAGCATCGCCGGGCATGGGCCTGCACACCCCATGCCCGTGAATACAGTGGGAGCACGGATCACGTAAATATACGTGATTGTGAGCAGGGAGTCTGCCCTGTAGTTGTAAAACTGCTATATGGTGGTTTAACTGGTTAATTTGTTGTTATGCTGAAGAAAACTCTTTTTCACTTTCTTCTGGAAGCATTAGTTTGCTTGCCTTTTTCCTGTTGGTTATACTTTACAGTGTAGCTCTACCCCTGTTGGTGTCCCTGGTATTTTGCTGAGGTCTTCCCCCAAATCTTAACCCACAGCCAAGCACACACTATATCCTATAGCAAGGTGCACACAACTTTTGCTCGTTACTTCAATGATCAGTCTAGGGGTTGTAGTTTTGTTATTTTTATTTGGTTGTGGAACAGGGATAGGGAAAGGATATAGTGTGATACACCAAATTGAACTAATCACAACTCAGGACAGCCTTCTCTAAGTGGATCTGTGGGTTTTTCTTAGTAGAACTGTGTAGCAGACTGTACAAAAAATGGAGCAATGTCATTCTGTAGAAATGTAGAAATTAAATGGATAGTTGCTCTTCAGGGCACCAGCAAGTGTCCCCTCTAACTTACACCCAGCAGTTGACTATGTAGGTCCCAAGGGGGTTAAAAAGCAGGAGTCCCAGGGTCTCTAAATGGTCTGTACTCACAAGGCCCTTGCTGCAGGTCCCCTTCCTTTGTGATAGCAGACAGGATCTGTAGACATCCCCCTCAGTCAGCTCTCAGAAGCACTGTGGGTTTCAGTGTTCTGGCCATTGGGTTGCTCACCCGAGGCCTCCTGGCAGCATGTGCAAAGGGAGGCAGCAGCCTCTCTGGCTGGAACTCCCTTCTCACAGGAATAGGAAAAAAGAACCCAGATCCCATGTGCTGACTGAATATAAATATGAGTACCCAGCATGCTTATGGGCACTACTCCCTGTAATTGGCTGAAGCTGCATCCATGTTCAAACTGCTCATCTGCATGGATCAATCCAGAACCTTCCTTGGTTACCTGGATACAGATGAACCTTCAACCAGACGCAGCAGCACTGTGAGTCACTACAATTGCTTAGCAAGGATGAACTAGCTAAACAATTGTAGCTATCTGTGTCACGTACCTGGTTGGGGAGCCTGATGTGGAGAGAGGGCGTCCTCTTACAACCCCCCGCTCGGAACCCCTGGAAATGGGAACAGGGGCGCAGAGCCAGGAGTGCCGTGTGGAACCTGAAGACTGTTAGTAGGTAGCTGGGGACCCAGAAGATCCGAACACAAGCCAGGAATAAGTGCAGGAACTTAGGTGCAGCAGCCAGCAGGTGTCGCGGCAATTAGAGTGCGGGTTTTGGGGGACCGCGCACCGATGCGTGGATACGGTGGCTGACAGGTATGGCGGTGGTCCAGATGCAGGTCAGATGCAGAGCTGTGAGTACAGCGGCAGGTGGCATGGTAGCCGACCAGGTGCAGGTCAGATGCAGGTGCAGGCAGGATATTACAGCGGAGTCAGCAAGCCAGGTCAGTAACAAGTGGGCAGCAAAGTACAAGAGGAGCAGACAAGAGAATGGTCTGGGATAGCCAGGGTCAGTGCAGGCAGAGTTCTTTCTTAGGCGGGTATGCAGAATACAGGCATCAGGCTCAGGAAGGTATGCAGGAACATTTGTAGACCAGAAGGCAATGATTCTACAGTGAAGCAGGTTTAAATAGCCCGCCTGACGTGACGTGATCGCTTACTGTGCATGCACAAGCTTTCCGCGCTACCGCGCATGCGCGGACGCACGCTCCTGCGCCCTCGCACCATCGCTGTCGCACCGCTGCACGGTGACAGGATCCCTGACAATCTGTTATGCAGAATTAAAGAGCCACAAAATTTGCCTAACAATCTCCTGTTTAGCAGAAGGCCATATTATGCTATACGCAACTATCTACATCCTAGCACTTATCTAGAAGGGTGCTACAACAGTATATACTGTATACAGCATCAATATCTCAGGAGATAAATGTTAGTTGAACTGCAGGCAAACTTTTAACTGCATAAATATCGGAAATGTTTAATCTGCCAAAGGAATTGTAATTATGTCCATCCAATCCTGATATTTACATAGCTCTGCTAGACAATACCGTCAGCCTAGTGGACTAACATTTTGCTACTAAATTTAGTTTATGCATTTAGGTTATGTCTCTGTTCCCAGCATTTGACTGGACAGAAAAGGAGCAAGGGAATGCCTATATGTCATTCCTCTGCAGTCTTCTGTTGCCACTGTGTTCTTTTCAGCTCATGTGCATTCAGATAGGGCCAGATGTAGACCTTGGGGGGGCCAGGGCACTTCAGGTTCAAAGGGGGGCCCCTTATGCACAGAGCTGGTTTACATTCTCAATGACAGTCACATATTTTTACAATGCATGACACAACATCATTCTGAGGTCATACATGCACACACACACGCATTCATAGTGCTCTATGTGTGATTCGCTTGAGTTGCCAATTTTTAAAAAAGATATAATATACCAGACTAGAGTAGAAATACGAGAGAAGAGTAGAGAAGTAATTTTTCATTATACATTTTAAATTAAATTTTTTTTTTTTTTTTAATTTTATATGTTGTTTTACATATTTTTTGTATAGAGAGGGGCCCGGGACACTTCCCCCTTTTGCCCCCCTTCAAATCCGACACTACATTCAGAGCATAGATCTGCTCCTCCCTCTTCCAGTCTGAGTGCTTCAGTCCAGTGAGTTTTAAAATATCAAGATATATACAGGTACTTACATTAGCTGCATTTAAAAATAGATTTAAATATGCTTTAATTAATATATAATTGCACTAACTAATGTAATTTTGTACCTGCCTGGAGTTCAGCTGTAGGGATAAGTACACTTTTGTGGGGGGAAAAGCAAAAAAAAAAAAAATACTATAGCGTATACACAAGTCATATTGTAATTGAATGTTACAAAAAATGACCTGAAGTGCTGTAATTTTCTATAAAATTCAAAATGTCTACCTGGAGGCATTCTGTACACAGATGGTGTACATAACACCCCAAGAAATGTAATTTCCTGCTTGTGTGATTGGTTTACTCAAACGTTTGCATTAAGATACAGGTCAGATTTTTGGCATCCCCTGCAACAAAATTAAATTTTTGGTGAGATACTCCCAAAAGGACATCCCGTTAAACCTCCTCCTGCCATATAGTAAAATGACGGACGCAAGGCGGTTCTCTCGTTCTAGGAGGATGTCATATGACATCCTCCCATTCTAACCGCGCATGTCCCTCGGACACAGCAGATCACCGATCAACGGAAAGAGCCAAAGATGTCGGCTCGATCGTGTGATCAGCTGTGTCTAAGCACAGCTGATCACATGTAAACAGAGAAATGCCTGTTATGGGCATTTCTCTCCCCACAAGCTGTCACGCTGACAGCTCATGAGGAGAGGAGAGTCGGTAATCGGCATTCCTCGGAGGGGACATGAGCACTGATGATCAGTGTGCCCTGATGATCTGTGCAGCCCCAGCAGCGCTACCTGTCAGTGTCCATTAGTGCCAGCTCTCAGTGCTCATCCATGCCACCTGCCAGTACCCATCAGTACCACATTTCAGTGCCTATCAGTGCCACTTCAATGCCACATATCAGTGCCCATCTGAGCTGCCTTTCAGTGTCACCCATCAGTGCCAGTCAGTGCCACCTATCAATGCCAGTCAGTGCCACCTATCAGTGCTGCCAATCAATGCCACCTATCAGTGCCAGTCAGTGCCACCTATCAGTGTGCATCAGTGTTGTCTATCAGTGCCTCCTAACAGTGCCAGTCAATGCCACCTAACAATGCCAGTCAGTGCCACCTATCAGTGCCATATATGAGTGCTGCCTTTCAGTGCCCATCAGTGATGCCTGTCAATGCCCATCAGTGCCACCTACCAGTGCCTCCTCATCAGTGCCCATCAGTGCCACCTATCAGTGTTCATCAGTGCAGCCTATCAGTGTCCATCAGTGCAGCCTATCAGTGCAGCCTCATTAGAGCACATCAGTGAAGGAGAAAAATCACTTATTTACAAAATTTTATAACAAAAACTAAAAAAAAGTTTTTGTTTTTAATTTACAGTGGTTTTTGGTTTGTTTAAGAAAAAATTAAAAACCCAGTGGTGATTAGATACCACCAAAATAAAGCTTTATCTGTCACAAATAAATAATAAAAATTTTATATAGGTACAGTGTTGCATGACCGCGCAATTGTCATTCAAAGTGCAACAGCGCTAAAAGCTGGAAATTGGCCTGAGCAGAAAGGGCGTATAAGTGCCCTGTAGGCTAGTGGTTAAAGGGATGCAGACCCTGCAGTTATCCTCATTAGAACCCTGCAGGTGCAGCAGCTTATTGATAATTATAAAATCACTCCCATACACATTCACTCTACACATGGACACAGACAAACAAACAGCTATTTCTCCAGAATTACAAAAGGTAGTAATCTGCAACAAAGTTTGTTAAAAATCCTTTCAATGTGCATTAATTACTCATAAGGGAATGTGTTTTTTCTCAACAAAACTGGAGTTACTCTTTAAGCTTTGGCAAAGCTCAAAAAATGATTGTGTCTGTATAAATGTTCATGTATGTCTACAAGCACCAGAGTGATGAAATGACCCTCTGCAACATTCTTTGTGGCTGCATTGGCACTGATATTACAATTGATAATCAGCAATGAGAATTCTTATATCCAGTTATGCACATGGGAAAACCATAGAGCAGCTTTTTGGCTTCTGGCTTCTTGCAGATCATTACAGAGGATAAGACTTCTAACACTGAAGCCATGATGTATTTCCCAATTGCAAAAGTTTTGTGTTTGGGATATGTCAGGCTCACTTACGCAGGTAAACGTCATTGCAAAAAAGCATCTACATTTACAAGAGTACATCCACGTACAGCCATTCATTTGTATGGCTGGCTGTACATGACATGTACTCCCTGAGCACAAGAAAGCACCAGGAAGTTTATGCTAGAAATAGTAAATGCCTAATTTTCTACGTACATCAAAGAACAATGGGTGGCAGGGATTTTAAAGGGCACAGCACACACAATTATAAAATTACATATTTTAATTAATTACATATACTTATTTGAATATATAAATATATATATGTATAAGAAACATAGGCTAAGAAATTGTAAAACAATAGCCCATTCACTATATAGTAGTATATCAGGAACCCCTTTACATGACAACATAATGGAGAACCATATCTCTATCCAAAGAGTGTGGCTCCGATGTCCATCACATTTCGAGACTGAAGCTCTTTCTCAGGGACAACCCCGGAACAACATTCTGAGATACAGCCGGGATCACATATAGAGATGTAGCCTGTTATGCATTGTTAAAAACACTTGTGTATATTATACAGGTGCTAGGTGAAGCCAAAACCAAGGAGCCAACAGACAGGGCCAAACAGCAGAGAAACATGAGAACAATTTTCTAACAAATACAGGGCCCATTCAGCGGCATGGCTGCACACCATCCAACAGAGTTTGAGCGTGTACATGAACCCGTAGGAATTTCCAGGCTTCAAAGAGTGACAACACTGCAGTGATTTTACTGCAGAGGAATTTGCGCTATCACCCTCTTAAGCTGGCCATGCACGTATAGATTTTCGTTCAAGAATTTTCGTTTCAAATATATTCGTTTTATTTTCTAATCCTTAGTGGGGTCAAATCGATCAAACAATTTTTCAGCCAGTATATGGGGTTATCGTTCAGAAATTACATTCATTTTAAAATTGAATGTTAAACGCAAAAGACAATTTTTGAACAGCATTCATCCATTCATTGAATGTTAAAAGAATTTTTGTACAACTTTTTGAACAAATATTCTCTTCTGAAAATTTACATGTGTATGGCCAGCTTTAGAGAAATAGCTCTGGTAGGATCACAGGTATTTACTAAATTTAGAAAGGACTAAAACATATTGTAAATACTTTCATATGATCACAAAATTTTTTTTACTTATAGTTTGACTTTAAAGTAGAACTAAAGGCAGTTCATATTTACCTTTCCTCCAACTGTCCTGTCCCTCAAAAGGCATCTTCTCCTGTGTGCCTGTTTTCAGCCATTTTCATTGCATGCACAGGAAGCTGTCATTCCAGCACACAGGGAGTTTTGTAGTTGATGGTACTCTGTTATGGGACCATATGCTCTGACAGATAAAGTGAAGTTAATCCTACCACTGAGCTGAGACAGATGCAGCTTGCACATCTGCACATAGAGTTGGGCCATTGCAAGGTACAGAAATGACAGTTCCTGTTTACTATGTAGAACCACTTGTCATAATCAGAATGTTAAAATGTATTATTGTAATCAAAATGTTTTTTCCATATAAAATCTAAAGTCCTCAAAAGTAAAAATGGTATTCTTTAATTTTACTGTTTTCTACATGTGCTAGAATTATGTTTTTAATTCAAAGTATTTTTTGTTGAAAAAGCGTTAAAAAAGTAATCAAACACTTATATGAATTCAATTGTTTTATATTGTATCAGTTAAGGATATTTTTTTACTTTCAATAAGCGTTTACTAAAGATCTTTAGAGATTATTAATATTATTATACAGGATTTATATAGCGCCAACAGTTTGCACAGCGCTTTACAACATGAGGTCAGACAGCACAGTTACAATATAATTCAATATAGGAGGGATCAGAGGGCCCTGTTCCTTGAAATTTACAATCTAAAAGGGAGGGTCAAGTTACAAAAGGTTATAAATGAGGGGGATGAGCTGATGAAGAAAGTGGACATACAGTTGTTAAATGGAGGCAGGATAGACTTCTCTGTAGAGAAGGGTTTTCAAGGATCACCTGTGGACAGAGTAGAACGATTACAAAATGCTATGTAGTCATGCACTTGGTAGTTAGTTAACAAGATAACAGGGTTGAACATTATAGATCCATTTTCTCGTTCATAGAAATAACAAGCACACAATAAATTATGTACCCAGGAAGCAGTATTTAATTGTGCTAAAGATCTAGGTTGATAAAAGTTAATGTATGCTGCTTTGTGTCGGTTAAAGAGGGGAGGTAATTTCTGCATTGTTGCATTGTCACTGTAGCATAACTTCTCCAGATTCAAGATGGTCTCCAAGAGTGACCAGGAGGGTCCCTAAACTCCCTCCAGTCTGCAATTTCTTCTCTTCAAAGGAGGTATTCCATCACTCTAGCACTGAGGTTTGTTCTATTAGACCATCCAATTTGAACTGTAAGCCCTTGACGTGGGATTGTAAATGACAGACCATGTTCTGAGATTCTGTGGTCTGCCTATAGGCATATCCTGTGCAGCATAGTGGCTAAATGGTTAGCACTTCCGTCTGGCAGCACTAGGGCTGTTGGTTTAAATATCAACCACAGTACTACCTGCCTGGAATTTGCATGTTCTCTCTGTGCCTGCGTTGGGTTTCCTCCCACACTCCACAGACATGCTGATAGGTTAATTGGATCCTGTCAAAACTGGCACTAGTATGTGTATGTATGAATGAAAGTTAGGCACCTTAGATTATAAGATCCTTGAGGGTTTGGGGACTGATGTGAATGTACAATATATAAACATACACACACATATATATATATATATATATATACTGTATATATATATATACACATACATATATATATATGTGTGTAAAGCGCTGCATAAATTGACGGCGCTATATAGATACCTGTAGTAGTAATAATAATATTATATTGAATTCACTTTCAATTCAACTTCATTTTTAACCGGATGGTATCATCCTTGCTTATAGCCTCCGTGTCTAGACTGACCTGCATGAAGTTCAAGGCACACCAACAGTTATGTCTCTAAATTGTAGCGCCTTAATCCTCTTCCTCTGATCCACATTCTATACCCTCTTTTGCAGACTAACAGAGAACATGAAAAGTTTTATATGAATTTGGAAAAAATCTAGCTGTATATTCTCATGATCTTTCTCTCTTTGTGTTCCACAGAGCTACCTCTGCCTCCTTTAAAGCTGCTAGAATGTTGACTAGGCTCCTGGTATCATGAGTTTCATACCCATTTCTCCAAAGAGAAGCCTATGTTTTTGCTTACACCAGATATAATGGAGCAGTCTCATTGCCAACTGCCACAGATTCCAAAGTTCTTAGATGGCTGTTACTCAAGCGCCTTAATCCTCTTGTTCACATTCTATACCCTCTTGCAGACTAACAGAGAACATTATATTGACATCCACTCTAACTTGATCACAGTATCATTTCACAGGCCCTGCTTGAATAACAGAGGTAAACTGATCACATATAAATTGATCAGTATTCGCTATTTCCAGGTCCAACTTCTCCAAACAATTTCACATTTCATACAAAGCCACTGTGAACTGTGGAAAAGTCTCATTGTCATGTTGGATCAAAAATTTCTTTCAGAGCAACTTTCCATAGATGCAACTTTGTCATACAGCGCTTCCAGAAAAACCCTCTGATAGCCAGATCTTGGAAGAGAGTGGCTGGCATTTGATGCAGGTGAGAAACAGTGTACAGAACACCTTCAGGCTGTCATATTGCTTTGAATTGTGCAGAAAATTACAGCAGCTGTAGACTGAAAAGAAAAAAGCAATTTTTTATAAGATTAAATTACAATATGTCTTGTTTTTGTATTGTTTTTTTTTTTTATTTACATGAAAAAAAATTAACTGAAGCTCTCCACAGTGTGACACTTTCATTTTACACAAGCTTAAAACTGCAAGGTTTTATTTATTTTATTTAAAAAATAAGGATGTGTGTTTCTACCTTCTAGATTGTACCTGCCTGAAATGCTAGGCATACATGTTGGGATTGCCATAGCAA